ACAAGGTCTACATGTGGCCTCCCCCCTGGGGGACGGCCAGCGGAGAAGTGGGTGAGGGAGACGTGGGATGGGGTAAGATATGATAAAATAATAATAAATTATAAATTATCAGGGGCTCGGGGGGAGCGGGAAGGGCGAGGGAAAAATGAGCTGAAACCAGGGGCTCAAGTGGAAAGTGGGTGTTGTAAGAATGATGAAGTCAACATATGTACTAAAATGCTGGACAGAGATGACGTATGTACAGATTGTGATGAGTTGTATGAGCCCCTAATAAAATGATTATTTAAAAAATAAAAAAAAATTTTAAAAAGGATCTCTTCCATTAGGTTGGCCAAGTAGTGTCTTCCAAATTTTTGGCATAAATGATTGAATGCTTCAGTTTCTTGAAATATTTCAGTTTGCAATCTGTCAGTTTCTGAGGCTTTGTTTTTTGATAATGCCCTTAGTGCAGCTTAGACTTCTTCCTCCAGTACCATCAGTTCCTGATCACATGCTATCTTTTGAAAGGGTTGAATGCTGACCAGTTCTTTTTGGTACAGTACCTATGTATTCCTTCCATTTCTTTTGCTTCTTCCTGCATTGTTCACATTTTGCTTATAGAATCTTTTAATATTGCAACTCGAGGCCTGAATTTTTCTTAAAGTTGTTTTTTCATTTTTAAGATATGTCAAATACGTTCTTCCTTTTGTTTTTTTTAACTCCAGGATATTTGCACACTGCATTATAATACTTTACTTTTTCTTCAGGAGTTGTCCTTTGAGATTTTCTGTTCAGCTCTCTTATTTACCACTTCTTCCACTTTATTTAGTTTTTCTATGATCAAGAGCAACTTTAAGAGTCTTACTAAATAACCACTTTGATGTTTTCTTTCTTCCCTGTCTTTTTAATGACCTTCTGATTTTTTTTTCATGTATGATGTTCTTTATGTCATCCCACAACTCCTCAGATCTGTCAATAATGTTCAATGAGTAAAATTGTTAGAAATGTTCTCAAAATTTAGGCAGGATACACTCAAGGTTATATTTTACCTCCTGTGGACTCTTTTAATTTTCAACTTCAACTTGAACTTACATATGAGCAACGGATGGTCTGTTCCACAGTCTGTCCCTGGCCTTGGTTAGACTGCTAATATTGAGTTTCTTCTTGTCTCTTCCCACAAATGTAGTCCATTTGATTTCTGTGGATTCCATCTAGAGAAGCCTATGCGATAGTCATCTTTTGTGTTGTTGAAAACAGGTGTTGTTGTCGAAGAAGTCACTGCTCTTGCAAAATTCTACCAAGTGATCTCCAGCTTCATTTTTATCACCCAGGCCATATTTTTCAACTACTGTCCCTTCATCTTTGTTTCAAACTTTTGCATGCCAATCTCAAATATTCATTGAGTACATTTTGAACAATTTCAAATTGAAGATGTTCGTAAAATGCTTCAATTTCTTCATCACTAGATTTAATGGTTGGCTAAAAAATTTGAATAGTTGAATCAACTGGATTTCCTTGTATGCTTATAGCTATTATCCTGTCACATACAGTACTGTGCTTCAAGATACGTCTTGAAATGTCCTTTTTGATGATGAACATGAAGCCTTTCATTTTTAATTTGCCACTCCTAGCCTAGTAAACCATATGACTCTGATTTAAAATGGTCAATTAAGATTGACCAGTCTATTTAGATCAATTTAGATTGACCAGTCTATTTAGATCTTTATGCATTCCGTTCACTTTTAACAACTTCCGATTTTCCTAGAGTCAAACTTCATAACTCCAAGCTCCAATTATTAATGAGGTTTGCAGCTGTTGCTTCTAATGTTGGGTCATGCCACATCAGCAAATAACGTCCTGAAGGCTTTATTTCACCCATATCATTATGGTTGACTCTATCTCTTGAAAGGATGGCTCAACCTCAGTCACATGAGTATTTTAAGTTCCTTCTGCCATGAAGGGCTCAGCTTCTTGAATTAATAATGTTTTGCTGCTTTTCATGTGGCTAATTTCTCCAAAGTGGGCAATCTGAAGTCATAATTTAACTCGTGTGGACTTGTTCCAATTTTCTTCAGCTTCAACTTGAACTTGCATTTAACTGATGGTCTGGTTCCACAGTCAACCCCTGGCCTTGTTTTGGCTGATGATATTGAGCTTTTCATTGTCTCTTCCCACTCACTCAAACCCAAACTCACTGCTATTAAGTTAATTCCAAGTCAAAGTGACTCTATAATTTGAATCAATTTGATTTCTCTATGTTACATCTGGGGAATTGCATGTGTTATAGTTACTATTTTTAATGTGGAAAAAAGCTATTTGCAATTGAAGGGGTGTTGCAACATTCTCTCATTTGGTCTACAGCTTTGTTTCTATCACCATGGCCATATTTTCCAGCTATTTTTTCCTCCTAGTTTCCAACTTTTGAATCTCAATTGCCAATAATTATCAATGCATCTTAATTGTATGTTTAACTTCAGAATGAAGAAGTTACATAAATATTATCCTATCACAGACAGCAGATACTTCAATATCGCTCTTAAAATGTTCTTTTTGAGTAACGAATGTGACACCATTCTTGAACTTATCATTCCAGGTATAGCAAATCATATGATTGTTTAACTCAAAATGGTCAGCACAAGTCCATTTTGGATCACTAATGCCTAGATTATCAATTTCACTGTCTCCATTTCATTTTCGACAACTTCTAATTTTTCTAGATTTATTCTCTGTAAATTACACATTCTGATCATTAATGGATATTTCTAGCTGTTTCTTCTTATTTTGAGTCAGGCATGCCACATCAGCAAACGGCAGTCTCGAAAGGTTTACTCGATCCATGTCCTTAAAGTTAATTCTGCTTTGAAGAGGCAGCTCTTCTCTACTCACATTTTGAGGCATCCCAACCAGAGGGCTCACCTTCTGCATGGTATCTGACAACATTCTGCTGTTATTCATATGGTTTACAGTGGTTAATCTCCCAAAATGCCTGACCTGTTTCTCTCTTCTAGTATGTTCTTAGGAGAGCTATAATAGCATAGTGTGTTACATGCTCGGCTGCTATCTGTCAGGTTAGCAGCTGAAAACCTCAGCCAAAGAAAAATGACGTTTTTTTACTCCAAAAAAGAGTTACGGTATCAGAAACCGACAGGGGCACTTCTATACTGCCCTATATAGTTGCTATGAGTCAGAAATGATGCAATGGCAGTATAAGCTGAGTCTGTTCTTTAACTGGAAGTTCTGTTAAAATCTATTCACCATTAGTGGTCCTGATGGTATCTGAAATACTAGTAGTATAATTTCCAGAATTATATCCACATGCAAGCCACCACAGAACTGACAGATGAGTGGTGGTAACATCTAGTTAGTGACACCTATTTAAGGGTGTCAATATTTTAACTTCATATAGCATTGTCATGATATTTGAGCAGTTTCCTCACCTAACCTAACGCATAATTTTATTTTTTGAATCCAAGTCAGAAATCAAGTTTTTTCTAAATAAAAGTTTCTGGGGCCTACTTGTGTATGATAATCTACAACAATGCAAAAAGCTGCTTCTTAAACCTAAATGCATTTTCGATTTTTAATCCCATTTCAGCATCAAATATAGATTAAACACTACTTTAGTTATCTGTTCAAGAGATATAACCAGCTAATATCTTTTGCTGTTGCCATAAACAATACAGAATTTTAACATTTCTTTCGCAAACTGAGGTTTTTCACAATGTAAGAGGGTAAATAAAAAAGTGTCCCATCTATGGGTCTGGATCATATACATATTTGTTTATTAGTTTTTCCCCAAATAAAATGTGCCTAAACATGTCTCTGCAGTCAGAGCATGGCAGAAAAGTTCTCTCACTACAACATTTACCTTGCTTGCTTGAGTGTGCCTTCCCCCAAAGGTCCAGTCACATTATCTCACAGAAGGGCCACATGGATGGAACAATGCACTCAGGGTACAGAAGAGCACTGATAAACACACATTTCCCTATTTCTTTAATGCTTCCTTCCCTGCACGATTATGACCTCAGTTCTACCTCACAAATCCTGCTAGAATGTTTTATAGACATTGGTACAAATACGAACTTTTGATACACAGAATCCAGGATAGAAAAATCCCTTAGAAACAGTAATAGGAGTAACAATTCCATGAGGGTATGAGAAGGGAAGTTGGGGGCGGGGAGAAGGACTGATAACAATGATGGCAGTATAAACCCCCTCAAGGGGGAAAAATATCCGAATTGTATGTGAAGGGATATATTGGATGGTGTAAGATATGTAATAATAATAATATATTAAGGGTTCATGAGGATGGTAGGGTGTGGGAGGCAGGGAATTAAGAGGAGCCAATATTAAAGGGATCAAGAAGAAAGTAAGTGTTTTGAAATTGATGATGGCAACATCTATACAAGTTCACTTGATATAACTGAGTTATGGATTGTTATGGATATGTAAGAGCCCCCAGTAAAGTGATTTACTAATTTTAAAAAAAGTTCAAATTAGTAGATTCCCAGGGGATCTTCTGGGCCCAATTAAATTCAAGGCAGAGAGGTCAGCTCAAAAGGCTATGACAACTATTTTGGGGGGGCTCCTAAAGGAATGATCTTCATAGATTTTCTTGTAGAACCCAGTAGGTTTATAAAGAAGTAGTTTAAGAAAATTGCAAACTACACTGCTAAAAGAAGGCCAGGAAAGTTGGGTCAAGAAATCTTTTTCTATCACGACACTGCACCTGCTCATTCTCCGAGGGTAGCAAGGATTTCCTGAGGAAATCAGTTAGGATACCTTACCTGTCCAGCCCACAGCAATGATTTTTCATTTTCAGATTTCTTTTGTGCCCCATTTCAAAATACAGCACAAGGAACATAGATTTGAGTCCCTGAGGAATGTCAAAATGGTGCAAATGGTATAAATCAAAGAATGTAGAATTCTCCGAGGAAGAGTTAGAAATAATAAAGATGCTGCCTTCAGAAGCATATAGACCTAGTTGAGTCTATAGTTGAGAAACAATAGCTTTACATTTTGATATTTTTGTTTAATATTTCTCTGACTATATAGCAAAACTTTTAACTTACCTTTATAATTTCATACATATATGTTTAAAAACAAACAAACATAAAACTCAAGTACCTTTTGCTTTTGACTTTCAACTACATAAATTTGGGCCTCAGTCATATGTTCCTGGTAAAGTTTCTGCAATCTATCCAGCTCCTGAGATACAGTCTGCCAGAGTTCCACTGCCTGGGTTTTTTCCTTTAAAACAAAAGCATTTGATTACTCGCGATTAGTAAGCCATTGCATATTATAAATGAGCCACATTTATTTTGTAGACAATAATTTAAAAATAAAAATACGATGTGTAAAAATGGATTGTAGTTATGTCTTTTTGATATGAAAATATACTAGAAATAATTTAAAGAACAACCTTTAAAGAATCCCCTACTTTGCAATTTTAAAAACCTTAATCCTGGATAGGTTTAACTAATTCTCCTTGTTCCACAGGGAGCCCCTGGGTGGCACAAGCGGTTCCTATATTGGCTGTTAACTTAAAAGTGGGAGGTTTGAGTCCACCTGGGAAGAAAGGCATGGTAATTTACTTCCCAAAATAAGTCATTGGAAATAGTTTTACTCAACATGTATGGGGTTCTTATGAGTCAGAATCAACAGAATCAGTCCTTGTTCTACAAGAAAGCGATGCTGTGTGTCACGGTCAATTATAGAGTAGAATTGCCCAAAGGGTTTCGCAGCCATTATCTTCATAGAAGCAGATCAGAAGGCTTTTTCTCCTGCAGAGCTGTGGACGGATTAAAAGTACTGACTTCCAGTTCACAGCCTAGTGTTTAATCAGTGTGCCACAGCCTCTTCACGAAAGTGCAAGCTTCTGTCAAACAGAATGAAACACACACCCAAAGCAGAAGACAAAATAGATGACGGGACCTCCTGAAAGGAAGAAACTTACGTGCATCAGAGGTTTCATTAAAGGGTAAAAAGAGAACCCATATACGTACTGGAGAAAAAAACGTTCTGGAGCATCTTATCGAACCAGGGACTCCTCTCCAAAATCTGTATACAACTTTAACACCTCAACAAGAAAAAGTCAAATAGCCCAATCAGAAAATAGAAGACACAAACAGACAGTTCACCAAAGAAGACATCGAGGTGGCCAATAAATAAGCATATGAAGAAATGCTTACGATCAGTAGCCATGCAAGAGTTGAAAATCAAAACAACAAGGAGAGACTATCTCACTCCAGAATTGACAGCCAAGTTTTAAAAAGCCTGAAACAATAAACGCTGGAGAGGGTGTGGAGGGATTGTAACCTTCATACATTGCTGGAAGGACTGTAAACCAGTACAACCAATTTGGGAAGTGTATGGCACTTGCTCCAACCATTGTGAATAAAAATACCAAATGATCCAGCAATCTCTCTACTTGGAAGATGCCTTAAAGAAATGAAGAACATAGCACAAGCAGATATATGCACAGCCTGGTACAATTTATTCACAATAGCAGAAGACAGAAACAATCCAAATGACTATTCTCAAAACCAACTCCTTGTCATTGATATTGTTGGATATAGTTGCTGGTTTCATTTCTTAAAACAGACTGTGTAAGTAGACAAAGCATATATTTCTTTAACACTCCCTCCCCCCCAAAAAAAAGTTCCTCCAGATCCTGCATCCTTCAAACCTAAACTAGTGCTATGAGTGGCTTAAAAATAAAAAAGGAGGAAAAGTAAGATTGAAATGGAGTTGGAGTCTTTAGTGACAAACAATTCATCTCAAACAAAAAATATTTTTGCTATGGTCAGATAAACATGGTTTCCAATTGTGACTGCTATAGGGAATTGTAAGTAAGTTATTTTACCTCATTTTGCTTTGGTTTTATCAATCATGATATAAAGATGTCACCAAAACAAAAAACTCACAACATCAAGTCAATCCCAACTCATAGGGACCCTATTAATTGGACAGGGTAGAATTGCCCTGTGAGTTTCTGAGACTGTAACTATTAAAGAAAATAGAAAGCCCTGACTTCCTTTCATGGAATGTCTGGTAGCTTCAAACTACTGACCTTGCTGTTCACAGCCCAGCACATAGCCACTCCACCCCCAGGGCGCCTTGGGTGGAAGAATGAATAAGTAAACGTTGGTATACAGACACAGTGGAGTACCACACATTGTTAAAGAATGATGATGAAGCTGGGAAGCACCTCATGCCATCAGTGGACATGAAGGATGTTACCTTGGGTGAAGTTAGTCAATCACAAAAGCACAAATACTGTATGAAAACACCGGTATAAAAATCAAGAGAAAGTTTCAGACCCAAAGACACAGACTTTGGTCGATACCAAGGGTAGGAGGGGGAGTGGAGAGGAAATAATAGGCTAGATGATAGACAGGTACTAACTTGAGTAAAGGGAACATAATATCCTCTAAGAGGGAGATGGGCAAAAACAGTGAGGCAAGGGGGGCACAGGGCAAGTCATTGGGAGGTTTGCTAAGTTGTTAAGTTGCTGAATGCAAAAATGATGATCTGTTAGATAAAACCCCACCTAATTTGTGGTAAAAAGGTTTTTTAAACAGACAGTATAAACCTTAAAACTTCTGTGGAAGAAAACACTCTCTACAAAGTACAAGATATTTTTATTAGGAGTAGTAAATATTTATTGCAGCGATTTAGGAAAGTGCAGAAAAATAAATAAGAAAATAAGATCACTTATTTTATAATCTGATAGTAAATATTATAACTCCTGGATGTCTATAAATGTGGCTCAGGTGGGGGTAACCCTTGGAATGTTTTCTTTAAACAAAATTGGGAATCATGTTTGTATTGTACCGATTTCTCTTGGCATTTTATAATAAAATATTTCTCCAGTCATTAATTACTCTTTCAATACAAGAACTCCTAAGATACTTTCAGGACTCCCTGAGGTCAAAATTATATTACATTTTGAAGACATTTTTTGCCCTTTTCACTCTCATCATGTATTTAGTTTTCTAAAGGCAACATTATGTATGACATTGTTATCCCTCTACTAGCTGATGAAATAAATATAATTGTTTGAATTTCAAATACAATAAATAGCAATCAATTGACCCTCTATATTCACAAGTTAGGCAAACTGGTCGAGTCAATGGAAAATATTCAGGTGGGGGCACAAAATTAAGTTGTCAAAGGAAATACTACAAAGGCTAAGATGTAGCAGTGTAAAATGCTATTAACATAGCATTTATATTGCATTTAGATATTATAAGTAATTTAGAGTTGATGTAAGCATAGGGTCCCAAGTTTATTTGGCTTACTGCCCCTTTTCAGAAAAGATAAAATAAAATTACTCAGTACCCCTTTGGCAACGAAAACTTTGTGTGCTACAGTCTATAATCCAGGATAAAGTGTAGGTGTCTGCTCTTGCAGCTCTCCTAGATTGTTCCAGTTGTCCCCAGGGGTCGGTATCAATCACTTTGGGAAACACTGATCTCAAGTATACAGGAGTATGTGCTAGGTTATATGCAAATACTACACCGTTTTATACAACAGGCAGATTTTGCTAGCTTCTAGGTAGAAGTGTCTGGGAACCAATCCCCCACAGACACCTATGGATAACTGTATGTAACTGATAAAAACAAAAAGCTTTTATGAAGTCCAGAAACCAAAAAGTTTGAGAGATTCTAATCAAGAATTTTTATGAAGTCCAGAAACCAAAAAGTTTGAGAGATTCTAATCAAGAAGGTAGAGACTCTTATTATTTTTTAGAGAAGTAAAGACTAGGTTTAGGTAACATGCCTAAAGTCCTTCCACAAGTTGTTGAAAGTACTGGGAAGGAAACCTCTTCTGCTTAGCTCCAAAGTCCAAAGTTTTGTACCCCAGGTCACTGCTAATCCCCCCTCTTAGTTTTAGAAAGAAGGAGGTGGGTAGTGTAATGAAGAGAGATACATTTTCAGGATCATAATGATATATATTTAAATTAATGTATGCATATAAGTTTCAAGTAAACTATAGTTGAAGTGTAATACTTGGAAAATGTATGTATCATTAACTTTTTACAATGTGTGTACATCCATGTAGCCAAGACCCAGTTCAAGATATGGGGCATTATTACTAGTACCCATAGCCAAATGTCTTTCTTGTGATCTCTTCCAGTCATTAGCCATTCCCAATAATTATTACCCTGACTTCTGACACCACAGATTAGTTTATCCAAAATGTACATACTTTAAAACATTGTAAACAAACAAAGTACCTGGAGCCAGAAGACTTGGCTGAATGATCAAGTACAATTCACTTTATTTCCTGAAGACTGTTTCCTTCTCTTTGAATGATCAAACACCAAGTCTCATGCCAAAAAAGGTTGTCCCCGCCCCCCCAAGCCTGTCTGATGATAAGAACCACTTGGACTACCAGCTGGAACACCCAGTTTTTCCTGCAGCAGGGGTTCTCAAGGGCTTAGCAACATCAGCAACATCTCAGAATCTGTATATACTTGGCAACAATGTTTGTATTCATAATAAAAAGTGAGGACAACTATAACAAGCTTTATCACTTGAGGATATCATCAGAAACCTTCTAAATTGTAGAAAATCAAGTGTAAATAATTTTGTTACCATGCTATTACTACTCATGTTTTAAATTTATCTTTATTTAAAATATAACTTAAAGATTGTGTCACTCACCTGATGGACTAGTTCTAATTGTTCTCGAAGGTTTCTGACTGTTTCATCATTTGCATACATATCATTTCCCATCTCTGTGTCAAAGGGCAAGCCCTCTAATTGCTTTTCAACAGCATCTTTTAATTCTCTATGTAGCCTTTAAAACAACAGTTAACAAAAATAATAATCTCAATTAATTTTAGTAGCACCAATGAGCATTTGAGTCCATTAAAAATAAATATTTGGATTAAAATCCTCCTTTACAAAAAGTTTTTTAAGTGGGCTTAAATAAAAAATTAATCAGCATTTAATACTATGTTATGAAAACTTAAAAACATATTTTATAATAATAAAAATGCTTTAAATTGGTCATTAATAATACAAGAATAATTAAATTTGTCTTAGTAAGATTTAAATTCTTTCAAAGGTAAAACTCAGATATGACACTTTATTAAATGATAAAACAGACATTCAGGATATCTGTAGATTATGATATGGATTTCATCTGTTGAGGGTCGTTCTCTTTTACACTGACCTTCAGACTTACCAAGTATGATGTCCTTTTCAGGGATATGTCGCACCTGATAACATGTCCAAAGTAGGCGAGATAAAGTGTCATTATCGTCGTTTCTAGTTTTTCTTCGTAGACAGATGTTTGTTCTTCTGCCAGTCGAAGGTGTTCTCAAGACTCTTTACCAACACCATGATCCAACTGCACTGACGCTTCTGCAGTCTTCCTTATTCGTCGTCCATCTGCCACATGTATGTGAGGCAACCGAAAATATCATTTCTTCGATCAGGGGCGCTTTACTCCTAAAAATGACATCTTTGCTCTTTAACATTTTAAAGAGTTCTTGGGCAGCGGATGTGTACAATATAGTGCATCCTTTGATTTCTTGACTACTGCTTCCATGTGTATTTATTTGGATCCAAGTAAACTGAAATCTTTGACAACTTTAATGATGTTATTGGTCCAGTTTGTGGATTTCGGTTTTCCTCCATACTGAATCACAATCCATATTGAAGGTTGTAGCCCTTGATCTTTATCAGCAAGTGACTCAAATCACTTTCAGAAAGCAAGGTGTGTCATCTGCTGTCAGAGGTGGCTCATAAGCCTTCCTTCGATCTTGATGCCACATTCTTCTCTTTCATATCATCCAGCTTCTCGGATCATTTGCTCAGCGTACAGAGTGAAAAAGTACAGTGAAAAGATGTAATCCTGATGCACTGTTGCTGATTTTAAACTATGCGGCATTCTGTTTAAATAATTGCCTCTTGGTCCATGTACAAGTTTTGCATAAACACAATGAAGTGTTCTCAAATTCTCATTCTTTTCAAGGTGATCCCAAGTTTGATATGCTCCATGCAGTTGAATGCTTTTGCATAGTCAATAAACACAGGGAAACATCTTTCTTCTATTCTCACTTTTCGGCCAAAATTCAGCTGATGTGGTAAGATACCTCTTGTTCCACCTCTTCTTTTAAATCTGGCTTAAATTTCTGGCAGTTCTTCGCCAATGCACTGCTGCATTGTTTTTACCTACCTTCCGAAAAATTCTGCTTGCATGTCTTATTAATGAAAGTGCTCAATAATTTTTGCATTCTCTTGGGGCTCCTTTCTTCAGAATGGCCCAGGTAAATGTCTTCCAAATGGTGTCATAATGTCATTCCACAACTCAGAAGTCTTCTTCAGTCATTAGTTTTCAATGAATCAAATCTGTTCTTGTTCCCTAAATTCAGATGGGATATACTCAAGGTGATATGTTGGCTTCTGTGGATTTATTTTAATTTTCTTCAACTTCAACGTGAACTTGCATATGAATAATTGAAGGTCTGTTCCACACTCAGCCTCTGCCCTTGTTTTAGCTGAAGACATTAAGTATCTTCATTGTCTTTTTCCTGTGTATTAAATCTAGTGAGGTTCCCATATATATTGCTGTTTATGTTGCTGAAACAAGATATTGCCAATGAAGAAGTCATTGGTCTTGCAAAATTCTATCATGTAATCCCAAGCTTCATTTCTATCACCAAGGCTCTGCTTTCAAATCGCTCATCTTTCCTCTTTGTTTCTAATTTTTGCATTCCAATTTCTAATAATCAACGAACCCTCATTGTATGCTAGATGAATTTCAGACTTAGAAGTTGGTAAAATTCTTCTATATCCTCACCACTGTCTGTAGTAGCTGGTGTGTTAATCTGATGCGTAGTTTTGTTAACTAGGCTTCCTTCTGTCAGATAGATATGAAATATTCTTTTTAATGATGACTATGACGCTACTCCATTTGAATGTGGCATAGTACACTCTGTAATCGTCGGACTCAAAATGGAAAATACCACTCCATTTCAGCTAATGCTTAGAATATCAATCTTTAGACATTTGACTTCATTTTTGATGACTTACAATTTTCCTATATTCATACTTAATAATTATACATTCTGAATATTAATGGATATTTTCAGCAATTCCTTCTCAGATTGAGGTGCACCCCATCAGCAAAAGTCCCCAAAGCTTCACTCCATCTCCAGCATTAACACTGAGAAGGCAGCATTCTGCTGGTCGTATTGTGAGTGCCCTCCAACACCAGGGGCTCATCACTTGGCACTGTGTCTGACAATGTCGTGCTGCTACTCACGACGGTTTCAGTGGCTGACTGCTCAGATGTGGACAGCTATGTCCTTCTTCCTAGCCTGTGCTTAGTCTGCATATTACAGAATCCCTAAACTACAAACTAAACTCACTGCCAACTCCTAACAATCCTATATAAGGTATCTGAGAATGTAAATCTTTATGGAAGCATATAGCTTCTTCTTTCTCTCATGAAGTCGCTGGTGGTTTGGCCTGCCAATCTTGTGACTAGTAGTCTAATGTCAGCCCACTGCTCTTCCAGGGCTCCTGAAAGACTGCTTGGTATTGCTTACTGCTAATTTTAATCATCAATGATACATGATATAGTGGTATGCTACTTAAATGCAATCATTCTTATATGATACTAAGAGTAAAATTGTTTTGTCTTTCTATATTAAACTACATTATTAATAATAGAGTCAAGCCATTTTCGATTTTGGCCCTTCTTTCCTATATTACTTCATTTTCAAAAAAGATATTATATAGGTTCACAAGTACTAATTACAATAGTGTAACTCAAACACCAGAAATCTGGACAAAATTAGTAATGAAATCAACAGTGCGTGCTTATAGCATCTGCGGACAAATCCTTGTACTTCAAAGCATTATTGCAATTGGGTAAAAATGACAACGCTCATTAAAGCACATTGATTGCTGTTGTTGTTAGGTGTAATTGGGTTGGGTACAACTCACTGTAACCCTATGCGCAACCCAGCCCTGTGGTCCTGCTTCCCTGCCAACCTCACAACTGTTTCCCTGTTTGAGCCCTTGGTACAGTAATTGTGTCAATGCAGAAGGTTCAATAAGTAAAAACAGTAGCATAGAGTTTTAGCCTTGCAAATCTGTTGAAAAATGTAAACTAACGACCATTTATTGATATGGACTCATTACACCCGTCTTGGGTTTCTGGGGCGTACATCTTTAGGGGTGGAGACAACCTCACCTTTCTCCTGCAGAGTGGGCGGTGGGTGTGGACTGCTGACCGTGTCCAGCAGCCACCAAATGTAAACTGAGATAACTAAAAAGGGATTTTTTTGTTGTTAAAACAATCAATAGGGGTAGCTTTACAAAAAATAAGAAGTTTCTGTAGAAACACTTCACAAAAATTTTAGCGACAGTTTTGTTGGTGCCATCCCCCTCTGACTGTGACCCAGTGTGGTCTGCACCCATTAGTGATCCTAAGAGGGAAAACATATATAATTTAATATCAGAAAGGTCAAAGTTATATCATTTAATATAATTCTATATCAGAAAATGTTTTTTACAATAAATGTTAACTCACAGGTGAAAATTTCCCAGAGATATTATATCCAGCCACTTAACACATTTTTCAAAACAAAAATCTATCTATTGATATTACAAAACTCCTTTAAAACAAAAATAATCATAATTATTAAGATGTATTTATTGAAAGTAAATTATTTTTATTGTTATTAAGTGCTATTGAATCCGTTCTGACTCATAGCCTATGCACAACAGAATGAAGCATTGCTCAGTCATCACCATCCTCATAACTTGTGTTTAAATCTACTGTCGTAGGTACTGTTATCAATCCATATCCTGAGGGGCTTTCTTTTCCACTGACCTCTATTTTAACCAAGAAAAAGGGGGAAAACAAATGAACAAGCTTCTCATAGGAAAATAAAACAACGTGGGTAAGTAAGTATACTAAACCACATTCATTTTCAGGAAAGCACAAATTAAAATCTCAGTGACAAACCATTTAACATTCAGATTGATTAAAACCTAGGAAGCTTGATAAGAACACATGCTGATAAGACAATGGAAACTCATAAATAGCACTAGTGGGAATGCAAATTGGCAAAGTGTGAAGCTTTATTTAACATTATATTGCAAAATTAAAATCATATAACCTATGACCCAGTCATTCTATCCCCTAGAGATTCTGTACTTGTATATGTTATTAAGTGAAAAAAGCAAATACTAGATGCCTGTATGTATATGATATCATTTTTATAAAAGACTAAATAATTTGTTATTTGTGAATATATCTTTGTGAAAAAATAAAACTCAAGGGAAGGACAAACACAGTATTAATATAGTATATACCTCTGCTTAAGGAAAACTGAGGATGGAATAAGGAAAGAAAAATGGATATGTTAGATGCCAGTGTTGGTAACTTTTTAGCTCTTAAGCTGGGTGATGAGTTGGCAGGTTTTCATTCTATCAATATGGTTCATAGCATACATGTATGATTATGTACTACACTATCAATGATTGCTGATATCGTGAAACAGGTCTGCCTTGTTTTCTCAGATGCCACAAGTTTTCCACATTTGACATAGTGCAGTAACCATTTCTTCTTTTCAAGCTTTTTGTGAATTAGGTGAAAGTTTACAAAAGAGATAAGCAGTTTCACGTACAATTACTCATACACATTTTGCTTCAACTCACTCATTGAAACCCCTCACGGCACCAGCACTTCTCACACTCCCTGTGTTTCCGGTTCCCATTCTCGTTCCTTCCTAGACCTCTGACTGGGCCTTGGGTAAATGCTGTCCTTTTGATGTTAAATGACTGGTTATTCTGACACAGGCTTGAGTTCAGTTCCAAATCAGAATGGTGACTGGGGACCCTTGGGTTGGGGGTTCCATCACTCCCTCTGACCCGTAAGCCAGGCCTGGTTTATGATTTTGAGCTCTGTCCCACATTTTTCTCCCATTCTTTCCAGGGCATTTTTATGTGATTCTCTTCAGAGTAGTTGGCAGTGGTGGCCGGGAACCAGACAGTACTTCTGGTTTTAAGGTTGTGGAGACTGATGGCTCCGTGTTACATGATTAGTCTATTGGATTATTTCCATAAGGGTTTTGACTTTCATTTCTTCTTTCATCTGGTTGGTAGACAGTAATAGTTGCACCTTAGACAGATAGCCGTTCTTGAGTTTTCAAGACTCCAGTTGCTACTCATCACAGTAGGATGTAGAACATTGTCTTTGTAAACTATATAATGCCAAATTACCTTTGTGTACCACTGAGACTATGGTTCTGTCTCCCAGGCCAGCAACTCATTTCCCCAATGAGTCTTGGTTAGGTCTAAGCAGTCATCTTTGCCCCCTGTATGCTCCACCACATTCACAGATACATATGCAACAAAGGTAAATGCATATATACATATATCCTCTATCAAACCTGCATATACTCATGGGTGTACTCCCACTCTCATTTCCACACCTGTTTAATCTGAGTAGCTAGACTGTAGTTATTGCATGATGGTGCATAACATGCATAACAGTATCTGCTCCTGTTGCTTTTATCTCCTGAAAATTTCGCAGTGTTTTCTCCTGCCTCCATCATTTTTCCCCAACACCTATTTATTGCACGGAGTCTTTTCCTTCACCTAAGTTAACCCTTCTCTACTTTCCAGAATGTCACCTCTCCTCCCACTCTGCTACTACCTAGTAACCGTCAAAGATTTATTCCTTTTAGTATGAGAACTTATTCTTGATTTTTATACTAATCTTATATAATATTTGTCTTTTTGTGATGGACATTTTACTCAGCAAAATGTCATCCAGGTTCATTCATAGACACGTCATTATTCTTTAATTTTGCACAGCATTCCATTATGCATATATACTTTCACCGAAGAGCATTTAGTTTTTTTCTAAATTTTCTGCTCTTGTGAATAGTGCTACATGGACATTAGTGTGTGTATATCTATTTATGTCCCAGCTATTAATTCTCTAGATATATTCCAAGTAGAAAGATTGGTGGGTCATATGATATTTCTATCCACATCTTTTTGAGGCAGCACCATACTGCTTTCCATAGGATTACACTGTCTTACAGGCCCGCCAGCAGTGTCTAAGGAGTCCAGTAAGTATTTGCTGTTCTTCGTTTTCTTGAACGTTGCTATTAATGCAAGGGAAAAGTGATATTTCATTGTTTTAAATTTGCATTTCCCCAATGGCTAGTGATTATATGCCTTTCTTCATGTGTTTGCAACCTGAATGCTTTCTTTGGTGAAGTATCTAATCATGTTCTCTGCCCATTTTTTTTTAAGTCATTTAATTGGGGGCTCTTACAGCTCTTATAACATTCCATGCATCAATTATATCAAACATATTTGTACATATATTGCCATCATCATTTCCAAAACATTTTCTACTTGAGCCCTTGGTATAAGCTCCTCTTTGTTTCCCCTCTCCCACCCTCGTGAATCCTTGATCAATTATATGTTGTTATTATTATTTCATATTTTATACTGTTCATTGTCTCCCTTCACGCACATTTTTGCTATTCATCCCTTTTGGGGGGCTATATATCCAATCTTGTGATGGGTTCTCCCTTTCTCCTTCCCCTTCCCCGACCATGCCCCTACCCTCATGATAACGGTACTCCCACTACTCTTCCGGAAGGGTTTATTGTCGAGAGCTCTTTATCTGTACCAATGTGTATTCTCTGGTCTAGCCAGATTTGTAAGGTAGAACAGTCTGCCCATTTTTAACTGTATTAATTTGTCTTTTTCTTGTTGAAGTGTTAAAGCTTTTTACAAATTTTGAGAGATTAGTCGATTATTCAATATGTCAATGATAAACATTTTTTCCCAGTCTATGGGTTACTTTCACTGTGTTAGTGAAATAATTTGATGTAATGAAGTGTCTTATTTTCAGGAAGTCGCAGGCCAGTCATCTACGTTTTCTACTACTGTGTGTGTCTCATTACATGTGATCATGTACTTCTGTCATGCATTAGGGTCCCTAAGTTTGTTCTTTTTAAATTTTTTAAAATTAATGATCTTCATAGTTCTACGCTTTGCTTTTAGGCCTTTGATTCAGACTGAATTCATTTTGGTATAAGGTGTGAGATATGGATCCTGTTTCATTTTTCTATTAAAAAATACTCAATATTTCCAGGACCATTAGTTAAAGACACTGCTTTTTCTCCAGTTAATGTGCTTCAGCCCTTTGTCATACATCACTGACCTTAGTCAGATGACTTTGCGTTGGAGTTGCCACTGCTGTTGCCCTGGTCTGTGTGTCTGTCATGTGCAAAAGTATCAGACTGTTTGGATACCCTCCTATTGCTGCCGAATGGAAAAGAACTATGATTTCCATCTCTCACTGGTGTCCCCCTTACAGAAGTGCTGGCTCTCACAGATGTCACAGTACTTATAAAGTGCTTGTTATTTATTCTAACCCAAATGTTTACTCTGTCACTTACAAACAACCTGATAAAATAGGTTGTGCTATTATCTCCAATTTTTAGATGAGGAAACTAAAACAAGAGGTTATATAGCTTGTTCAAAGTCACATAGAGTCAAACAGAATGTCAGGCTCCAGTCTATACCCTTAAACAGCATACTCGATGCATAACATATATACAAATAACATGTAAGAAGAAATAAAAGATACCTGAGATAACAATTAATAAAATGCCTTTGACTTATGGTGTTGGCAAAGAATACTGAATATACCATGGAGTGTCACAAGAATGAGCAAGTCTGTCTTAGACGAAGTACAGCTAGAATGTTCCCTGAAGCAAGGATGGTGAGACTTTGTATCACTATCTCGGACAGTAAGATAATAATTAAAAAACAAAACAAAGCCAAGAGCTAATAGGTCTACCTTTCATTTTCCTTGATAACATTTTCAAGTTGTAGTTTCATCTCACCCGTCTGTTTCTGAAAGTATAAATTATAGTGATAGTGATCAATTTTCCAGGCAATTAGGTCTTCATTAAATAGTACATTCACATACAATTCATGAGGGTCTATGATACTAGTTTACCGACAAGCAAGAATTGGTCTTTACTTCTAACAAGTATTGTTAACCAGGATATATATTTGAAATAGTTTTATAGGCATATACTTCACATATCATACAATTTCATCGATAATCATATTAGGTAGATTTGTGCAATTATCGTTATAATCAATTTCATAACATTTTCTTCTAGTACTAATTGCTGTCAGCTCCCCATTTCCCCCATCCTTCCCTGCCATGCCCCTATCAATACAGTTATGGCTTCTACTTATGTTCGATTTCATTTACAGAAAATCGTCCAAAACAGGAACCAAACAAACAAAAAAGTCCAACAACGACTAAACATAAAAAAACCTCAATCAAAAAGAAAATGGAAAATAAAAAACTGAAATAACTCTAAAATAGGTCAAAAGGGGGATCCAGTAATACGGTATTACATGTAGCCTAACTAATCTGCCAAAACTGACTTTACAGGGCTCTCTCTGTCTAAAAGCAAGGCTAGTCACATTCCTCCATTATGGTCAGGGGGGATTTACTGGAGGCTTAATCCACGTGGGGACGCTGAAAATGGATTTTAGGCTTCCACCATCATCCATCATCTTTTGCAACTGGATGTTCACAATTTAAGCTCTAACACCATTCCCTCCTTTGGATTTGGGCTTTAATATTTACAATCCTGGGATCATGCAGACTGGTATGCTTTTTCCATGGGGACTTAGTTGATGCCTCACTTGGATGGCTCCTTTGAGACTCCAGACGCTATTCTTTCTGATAGCCAGGCACCATCTGGATTCTACACTACACCTGGCTATAGCACCCATATCTTCAGTGATCTCTTCATTAGGGCATCAAGCAGGGCCATGTCATAGAAACTAATTGTTCTGAGATTGAGACCAGAATTAAGTGTGAGCCCCCAAACAACTGAATATTTTAATGAAATGTAGAATCCAATAAAAAACTCATTTTGAACAGAAGACAAGTTAACTATTTTATATTACACATTGCAAGAAATGTGATTCTGATGCATAGATTTTGAAAAACAAGTAAAGGGGACATTTCTTTGTAGGAATGTCATTGTAACTAATACCAGAAGACCTCTAGAGCATTCATGTATCTTAATTAATTAATTTAATTTATTTACCTCAATTTAGGTGACGTCCATATGGATACCTGTATTTCTCTAGCATTTCAAGTGGAAAGATGTTAATTGCAAAATAAAAGAAATAGAGGCTTTCTTAGTTGTCATTCTAGCTGTAATTCACCATCCTTATTAAATATCTAAAGCCAAGCTGTATGATACACAAAGATGGTCACTATTGTCATACACATATTTCAGTAGGAAGGATAGTAAAATATCACTAACTAAAATAGCTACAAGAATAAATATTATAAAGAAAATAAGATAAAGGTATGCCTAGTTCTCTCTGAAGGGATCAAGAGATTGTTGGGATTTCAAGCAGACAAGAAGGAACCTCAAATAGGGAGAAATATGAATAAGAACAAGTGACCAGATATACTAGGTAAGAAAGGCATAGTAGACCTAGACCACAGCATGCACACGGGTACAGAGCTGGAAACACAGGGAATCCAGGAGAGATAACCAATATTGAGAGTAGCCATATCACGAGGGGAAGGGGAAGGGGGGAGGGGAACCCATCACAATGATCTTCTTATACCCCTCTCAGAAAACAGAAAACAGATCTTCTTATAGCCCTCAACAGAAAAGTGGGTAAAGGGAGACATTGGTCAGTGCAAGATGTGAAAAAATAATAATTTATAAATTGTCAAGGGTTCATGAGGGAGGGAGGGAGGAGAAAAATGAAGAGCTAATACCAAGGGCTCAAGTAGAAAGCAAATGTTTTGAAAATGATGATGGCAACAAATGTACAAATGTGCTTGACAAAATGGATGGATGGATGATGGATTGTTTTAAGAGTTGTACGAGCCCCCAATAAAATGATTTATTAAAAAAAGAAAAGAAATGCATAGTAGATAGCTCGCAATAAGAGTGAATGGGCAGGATGGAGGTCAGGAAAAAGGTCATATGAAAATCATATCAACCTGTGCTATGTCCCTTAGTCTTGACTGGGCACTGTCGTTAAAGCAGAGAAACCTGGCCTAAAGAAGCTGGCAAGAGAAGGATGGAAGTCAGGGCTTCAAGCCTTATTTCCCCTGTTTAATCAGAGGAGCTGGTCCAGGAAATCAGTAATGGCCAATTCTAACTACAAATTGGCTTGAAAGATGAACCATTTCCAGGTCCCAGCTGTTTGTGAATCACAATGATTCCAAATTGATTTAATTCATTACCAGATAACTGACAACTGACCATGTAAGGAGTAAAGCGGTGAAAAATAAAATTTGGAAGGCAGGTGAAGCTCATGAATACCATGAAAACTAAGAGGCTTTGTAGTATTAAGTTAAATTTGGAGGGGGAAGGGCCAGCCCCCACCACTACTACTACCTACGGGTTCAGTAAGCACAATTGTACGGTTGATATATATATATATATATATATATAATATTATATTACAGTCATCGAGAGCATGAGAAATAAAAGAGATATTACAATGATGCAGTCAGACACATTACAAGGTAGCATTGCTCACCTCCGTCCCACTTGGTGGTCCTCGTGGGGGGAACCCGGTTATGAGAGCAGGAGCAGCCTTGGGGACGGAGAACCGGGGAGCCTCTCCTGGCCCGAGAGCCAGGGAGGGCCCCGGGAATCGGGGAGAGCCTTCAGCCCCAGAGCTGGGGAGAGCCTTCGGCGCAAGGAGAGCTTCTTCTCTATTGCTAACCACGCATTATATCACTTTAGGGGGCCATCATTACAGAATCACACGTCACAGGAAGGGGCAGTACAATAGGCATACACATTGTAGGAAGGGGATCTATGATAGGCATAAGCTAACAGGAAGGGATGAGCTAGGGGTATGCCTATAGGAATGGGAAGGTCTAGGGGTATACATGTAACAAGATGGTCGGACCTAGATTCACGGTGGCAGTCTAATCTTGTTCATCCTTGGGCAGGTTTGACCTCTTTGGTGTCTCCTACAAGGAAACAGACAACTATTATCCTTATCAGAAGGGAGTGGGCCCTCCTTGTTGCGGGATAAACAGTGGTGTCTGATTGGTCTAGACAGCTGATAACTCTCAGGGAGAATGACCCCCAATCCACTTCTATGACCTCCAAGTGTACAGTCATTCTCAAGCAGCTAAGTCTGGCATATATTTGGGGGAGACAGCTTGGAAGAAATCCTTCTGTTTCCCACAAGGCTTGGATTTTAATGTAATAATTGTCCTCATTTTACATTAAAAAAACCTGATCTTTAGATGATTCAAAAACATGGATGCTTATTGAAATATATTACTCTTGGTCATGCTGCGTACATATGTATTATCAGGTAAGATTAAGGGTTCATCATTATTGTCATATTAAAAACCTTTATTATTAAATATTTTAAAATATTTCATTATTGGAAAATTTTTCAGTAGTACTTCTCATATAATAAAAAGTTCCCTTATTTTTTACATTTCTATCAGAAAATCCTTCATATAAGGAATTAAAGTCATACTTCTCTTCTTTTTAAGATGTATCATTTTGGGGGTCAAGAAGTTATAAGAATTAGTCTTTCGTTGATTAATACCTATGTGAGAAACTAGTCTGAAAAGTGGCTGTTAATAATTTTTTTCCTCACTAAAAGAAGTAGGAACTTATTGTGTCTTGGCCTTTCTTTAACAGTTTCTTAGTTTCTTAAAATTAATTGCATAACCATCTCCATAGGTGAGGGAGAATGTCAAATGAATAATGAAGTTAAAACTGTTAGTAAACAACTTATTCTGATGTATCATAAAAATATAAGCTGTTTCCTTTTAATATAAATAATTATATATTATAACAATCAAACCACTTAAGTATGTCATCAGCTTAAACATTAGAATCCTAAAAACAAGAGCAAAATGCGATTTATGCATAAAGGGTGCTTTCTGCTGTGTTTTGTCTATTTAAAAAATTGAAAGGCATGACTACAATTAGCTTATGACTAGAGGCTCAAAAATGCATAACAAAGACAAGGAAAAGAGCTAATTAATCCATGATAAAACAGAAACTACATTTTAAAGAGATACTGATATTTAAATTGAACCAGGGTGACTTTATAAGCTTAAATATTGAAAAAAATAACCATTTCAAATACAATCAAAGAACTTTCTTTTTAGACAGTTGAAAGAACTTTTGTGTATTGTTTTTTATAAAGCTACACATCAACCCATTGATTTTCCCGTATACATTTACTAAAATAGATCTACTAACCTAAACTCCGGCATTTATTCATTATTCAGATATTCGGTAGCTAGACTTACAAGTACACCCTAACAGCTCTTCCTTGGCCACATCTTCACAAAAAAGTGGGGAAAACAAAGCTCTTTCTGTCTGCAGGATTACTGCAAGACTCTGAGGAAATAATTTCGGAGGATTATTCTTACATAAGTTACTGTATTTTCCACATTCATTCAATTAAGCCAACTCTGCTGCACTTGCCACGGCTGAATTGGTCTGAGAATTATTCACTGAGCCAAATAAAACCATGATTATATTCGCGCTCTAGCAGAGAGGTCACCCCTTTCTGGAGAACCTACCTTCAGAAAGTAACTTCCACTTAAGAAGCAATGTTATTGTATTCCTTCCAGTGTTATCAGAAATGTTAAAATTGAGAGAGGGAGATTTGAAAGATGTCCACAGATCTAAGAAATACATCTCAAATATTAGGCATACTCTAAAATTGATGCTCACGAGACTCATGCTAGTTCTCTGCAAACCGTGAAGGCATCCTAGTCTGAGGTGCCCACTGGAGACAGCGTACTGTTTCTTCTATCCCATTAATAAAGAGGATAGCTTTAAGCCTATGGAGGGAGCCCACAAGTTACAACCAGTAGTGGGATTCCACTGGTTCCCACTGGTTCAGCAAAATAGATACCTAATTTTTTGTTGAGTTTGGCGCATCGGTAGCTAAACCGGCAGTTGTAATCTGGGTCCTCTCCGAGGTGGACTGTTTGGCTGCCGCCGAATGTGGTATCACAAATTCATATTGCTCACTCTCTTTCATCATTAGAATATGCAATGGTGTATTCTAAGTGGCCATGGCAATGTTCATTCTATCCATAGGTATAGAAAATTAGATTAAACTATGCTTGTAATATTTATTTGTTCCATAAAACTCACTATAATTTTGATGAAATATTACATTTTTATTCCCTTGTGCTTGTTACTTCAGTAAACAAAAATATAAAGAGAAAAGGTCAATCAGAGGGTGATATACTGTCATTCTTTAAGCTTTGTGTTATGCCCCAAATTCCCATGAGGCATTATGAGTCAACTGTGCAATTCCTAAACTTGTTCAAGGAGCTATAAATATTGCCACAACAATTGCAGGAAGTTCAGTAGAATTGGAAAGCAATGATTAATACGCTCAGAGAAATCGCTTGTTTCTAATATATCAAACTCAATGACTACTGTCTAATTGGCCTAACTCTAAAGGAACGGGACCCTCCTCCTACAATGAAAGGATGGCTACAGATATATCATGCAGCTGATGATGCTTGGACAGAAGTAAAGAATATTGAAAGTGAGGACTCAAATAAATAAGCAATATGGAAAGATCTTAAATAATAGTTTTATTGTTTTTTATCAAGTATTATTTAATACTCTTCATTAATTTTTTCAAACTCTTTTCTTATAATCTAGTTTTGCATGCCTTTTTAACTGTTCTTATTTAAGTGTTAACTGTATGACATAACAAACTACCTCTTGGTATATCTAAGGCTGGATGAGCAATCTGGAGGAGAAAACAACGGGACCGACAGTTCCAGGGGGACATGGGAGAGGGGGAGGTGGGGGGAAAAGTGGTGTTACAAACACAGGGGCAAGGGAACAACAAGTGATCCAAATTTGTGATGAGGTGGGTGTGGGAGGCCTGGTAGGGCATGATCAAGGGGAATGTAACAAACAGGAAGTGCTGAAACCCTGGTGGGGACTAAGCATGATTAGCGGGACAGGAGGAAAATCAAGGGAAATAGAGGAAAGATCTGGGAGGCAAAGGGCATTTATAGAGGTCTAGATAAAGCTATGTACATATGCAAATATATTTATATGA